ATACCAAAAGGGAACAGCAAATTAAATTTCAGCAAGATTGTACTTTTTAAATCCAATTTTAAAATAATGGCATTTTGTGGTACATAAATGAACTTGATCATTTAAATTGAAGCCCACGTTTAGAATTCCCTTTTCTCCATGATCTTTTACAAAAAACAACTGAAGCTGTGAGAAATACTGCAAACTCAAATGAGTGTTTCTGTAACTTGAAACATTCTTAAAGTCCACCTCTAAATAATATTTAAAAAGAAACTTATTTCTATAAAATCGATGCCTAAAGACAATAAATAACTATGTGAAGATGTTTTGTTGTTGACATCAAAAATTCTCAGCTGTGACAAAAGCCACTTCATCATAATATGTGTTGGGGAACAATTAAACAAATGGGGACAAACTCCTTACTTGTGGTTTGAACAAAAACATTGGCATTTGACAAAACAGTAAAATACTGCCTGTCTTTGTTGCCTAGCAAGTTCATAACTCATTAACCAAACAAGGGGGAATTGGTCGGTAATGAGTTTCAGATTCCTTTTGTCATATATTGTCTTTTCATTGTTGGTTTTGTTCAATTTGTTTTTTAGGGATTTTATCCATCTTCAGCCCCTATTGCTCACCATGCACATTGTTTACCCTGCAATGAGTTGCTCCATCAAGGTTGCTGATGAGGACAGGCGTGTCCCAGTAGAAATGAACAAATACATGAAAATGCCCTATTAAAGTTGGAAAAATAAATTATTTAAATTGCTGTTCCTCTCAATTTGTTTATGTAAATAAAATGCATTTATATTAGTTAAGGAACATAAAGCAAGTAGTGTCAAGTAAAAAATGACAACAGAATTTGCTATTTCATAGCTATTTTTAATTTTATTTATTTTTCTGGGCACCACAAAGTGTGAAAGCACAAGCCAGTTGTTTGTTTCACATAATGTTAATAGAGTGATGTCGTCAAGGAGAATTTAATCAAGTTGCCAAGATTTAAAAAAGAACATGATCAGCTGAGTGCGTGTGCTATTCAATACACACAATATTACAAACTGGAAAAAGCAAGGAAAAAAGTGTATGAGTACTTTTGAGTTTTTATGTCGTTGCACACCATATAAAGTGAAAAGATGGCACCCTGTCCCATGCTGTAATTTAAACATGAAAACGTGACGGGAATTCTACATTATACTGGGCAAACAGGTGTCAAGAATGAAGTGCTAGTTATAGACAGTATACTAGAATATGGAGATATTGATCATTATCATTTAGAATATCTTTTTTCTCGCTTTCAGTCTGGTTTAAATTATTTTCAAGACATGAACGCAAATGTCAAAATCCTACAACAATTTATTAATTTTTTTAAATAGCAAATTTGTTACTTAACATGTCACCAAAAGAAGTTTAAACCATGACTATCTTTGATAAAAGGTTATAGCTTGAAAACTGGGAAGCCCTGACTCAACTCGTGGCCAAATTTCCTTTCAAACAACCCTTGCTGCTAAAGTTCAGTAGTGTCTATTCTTCGACTGCTGCTTGTCAAGTTCTGTCTAAACTGTGGCAACAAATCAGGATAAAAAGGTATCAGCGGCACCAAAACAGCTGGAAGACTAAGGTCACCTTGTATGATTGTGCCTTGACATTATGCTGCTGTTGACCTTAGAACATGTACTCATGATGTATTGACACTGAAATTATGAATAAACTACAATATTAAAACAAATATTGGCACTCTGCTTCTTTTTTAATTTTTTTTGTAAGAAATGTGTTTTGTATATTTAAACCATAAAAGAAGGAGGTGCAACACCTGCTTTAGCTTCCTGGACAAGACTCCCAGGATTTATTTGTATTTTTGGGCTGATTAGAAACATAACAATTTCTGTGCTCTTTCACCTTTGATTTATCAGAACTTGTGGTTTTGTATGAGCCTATATACAAGATCTTTGGACATAGGGCTTTGATTTGTTCCAGAGCCAAGTCTATAAATGAGAGGTGACAGAACATTTGTGCTCCAATCCCCTAAATAACCTGAGGAAACGAGATCAGTTAGGTTTACGACCTCCGTCATAGTTTTATTGGAAATCTGACTTTAAAAAGGACTTTTTGATTGTGATTCATTGATGACAATTTGTGTTGTGATATTTAACAAGGATCTGTTGATTTTGCTTATTTGATTTCATCTTATTTTATATCTACTGCTGTGTGAAGCATTTACTTAATGTTTAGCATTTACGGAAGTGCTAAACATCCATCCATCATCCATGCATTCTCATCTAGTATCTCATTAGGCAATGTCATATTTATATATAGTATTATATATTTGATATTTAACGTTTTATTTCTAAGATTTCCAAAATATATTATCTTAAAGGTCAGACACTGTTCAAGAATCATGGCAAGTTGAATATTAGGTAAGTTCTGCTCTTTTACAAAATCAAACACAACAGAAACAGGTGAACTCTTTCAGGTATTTTTTACATAGCATGTGTGAGCAAAGCTGGGACTATAGATGGATCACTGTGTCATCTCTGTACATCTTATCATTTAGTTGTTGAACAATATGTGTTGTTTTGTGTAAAATATGGTCCTGCTAACATGCACTTGTAGTGAACCTGATCTGACCTCAAATCTGATCAGATGGACAGAGACTGTTATTTCATTGATCTGCATCCAGAAATACAGTTTGAACCATCTGGAGACTTTCTTTCTTGAATTAATCAAGTAGAAAAGACAATTCTCTATGATCATTACTGTTTTACAAATGTTTGGTAATCAAATTGTGTTAGTTCACTCAATGCTTACAGGTTGAAGAGAACTACTCATTTTTATTTTACATAAACAGTAAGTAATGATTTTTATTCCTCATTCAAAGAAGAAATCAGGTTAATATGCATTTCTTGATTTTTCTGTCTGCAATGAGCAAGTTTTGTAAGTATGTTAAAGTTCAGGCTTCGGTCAACTAAAATGTTTACTGAGAAGAAATGTCATGTTTAACTATTTGAGAAGATACAGCAGAGTTTGACTCCACGAAGTCTGGTTTTCTGTAATAATCTCTCTGTCTGTTGTTAAACAATCTCATTCTCTGACCTTGAATTTGATAACATCTTACATCACAAACCACACCTCTATTCTGGTCCATCCACGAATCAGAAAGCTCTAAATTGACCCGGAAGTCAACTCATTTAAAATGTGGCAACTTCCCGGTTCTTGTGAGTCTGATGCTGCAGAGCTCTGTGAGTTCCACACAGAGTGCTGAAGAGTGATGGAGTTAAAGAGCTAGAGTGTAAGAGCTAAAGAGATGAAAGGAGTTCAGAGTTCTTGGATGCAAACGCATTCAAGATGATCCAGAGACGTTTTGGGATTATAACTTCTGTTTGGATAACCTCGTACGACTCTCTAAGGGTTTGGCAGTCCTCACGGAGACGCTGAAAGAGTCAGAAAGGAACCCTACGCCGACGCTGATTTTATCATCAACCAGGTAGAAGGTTCTATTTTCGACCAAGTGTACCGTGGGCAAGTTAAGATCTGAAGGAGCGTGCACGTTTCTGGTCAAACAGATTAATTCCCTCACACATCTCTCTGTAAGATAAATCTCCATTTCCATTTTAAACTCTCCTTTCTCCTAAGATCATAACAGATATCTTAGAAATATCTGAAGCAAAGTCCTCGATCACCGCCGTGTGATTGATGTCCATTATCTGTGAAACTTGTCTGTTATTATTTTCATATTTTGCCAAATTAATGTAAATGTTTGATGTTAAACTTTGATTCTGAAAATAAATGACCGCATTCATTTGATGGGTCAAAGATAATAACGTCTCTCGTTCGCATTTCTGTTAGATTCAATGCACGGTATTTACACAGTCAGAAAAATGAAGAACTCGTGAAAAATTGTATGAATATATCCCTATATGACATACTACACACTGATAAGGAATAATGTGGGCTCAACAGTGTAAATAAAAAGTCAATAAAATGTAGTTGAAACTTGCTGGATGTGAAGTTTTCCTTTTTGCAGTGATGAAAAGCAAATAAAGTGTCAGGAAAAAAAAGGTTATTTTTATACATAACCTTTTTAAAATATGAACAAAAAAGTGAAACTTTTTTTAAAATCACATGACTAAACACCTAAAAACTGCAATAAACGTTTAAAATAAAACCAAAGCCAATTGTAGGAATGGTGTATCCAGATCCCTACATGCACAGAGTGTCCTTCATATTTGATTTACAAAAGAAAAAATGAAAAGCTTCCCCACAAAACGACTTGCAAACTTATTTGGACACATTATTCCACCAGACACAGATTGATATGCCATAAGTAAAATGACTTTCACAGGAACACGTTGAGCCAGATAAGCAGATGTTGCTGAACAGAAGCTAAAACAAACACTTTGAATCACATCCCACATCGCAGCAAGCAAGCAGCTGGGATGTGAGGATTTCTTGGAGTGAATTAACTTCCAAAGAAGATTATTTTTTTCTTATTTGATGTACAAATTTTAATGGTGACAAATTCAACCACATTGAAGTGTCCACAGATTTATAGGATACTTTCTTTTCACATTACAAAACCGACAAACCATATGACATTAGACCAAAACCAGATGCTTTTTTTTTTTTTTTTTTTACTAGGAGAAATTGCTGCACCTTTAAAGAAAGTATTTACCAATTCAAATAAAAATAATACCCAAAGTTAAACTTATGGTAATAACACAGAGACAAAAATCATATTGAGCAAGAGAAAACCTATAAAGTATAGAAGGTTAAGATAAAAAAAATAATAATAAATCCCGGGCTTGAGAATTTGGAAAGTCTAAATTTTTGAGGATTTTCTCATTTTTATTTTTTTAATTTGTCATAAAAATGAGACATAAGAATAAGGAAGAGGGACAACGTTGAGGCGATACTTTTGAATGAATTGAACTAATCTTAAAGAAAGACATCACCAGTCTGTCTGCATCAAACTTGACTACTTTTATTTAAAGATTTGCATCAATTCAAGTTATAAGCATGCCACTTACCTTTTTGGTCTTGACAGTGGATTGACAGCAGTCTCCTCCATCGTAGCTGCAGAATGCCCTGTTGTTGACTGCATCACAGTAGTTGTCTCCCATAAAGTGCTGTAGCAGACAGAAAAAGAGACAAATGATGGAGCAAAAACATGAAACTAAGAACAAGCCACCTTCTCAATAAATTTTAAAGACCTTAAGCTTTTTTCCTTCTGAAATTCTCCTGAGTATTCCGGGGTCTTTTGAAGTCGCTGAATGAATTTGCTGATGAATCTGATACATTAAATTTTCCTCATTCTTCAATGTCACTTTTTAAGCCCTTAGTTGGCCAGACCCGTAAATCAAACCCAAGACACCATAAACTATTCACAGCACAAAATGCTCTTGTAAGGTGATTTATTGTGCTGGCCATGCCCTCATCACTTGGGTTACCAATCAGGTTATCCAAATGGATGATGATGTCGATGACATCATTCTTCCCTTTGCTGGAGTTGAATGCATCAGTTTTGGACAAAAGACATATCACGTAATGGCACAATCACATTTGGAGAAATACACCTTTTTTTTTTAACAGTGAAATACAACAGTTATTTCAGATTATGAAATTACATAATAAGCCAAGTCTAGTCTCATATAAGACAGTCGTGTAGATGCAGTCATCATATCTGAATTAGATGGCTGAATCGCAGCTGTTAAATCACTTTGGTTAAAGCTCAGCTGCACGTTATACAGATGTGTTCATATTTACACATCTCAGCCCTGCTAGGAAATGTAAGATGTGGCAAAGAATATTGTGACAAGAGATCAGTTCTTCACCTATGGTTATTTAGCTTTACTTGCGCTGTATCTGCCAATTCATTTCCTGTCTACAGTCATTTAGCCAAGTACAGCTCATAAAACTTTATATTCTGCATTTGATGTATCTCAGGTCAAGAAAGGTGAAAGAATTAAAGTATATTAGTGCACCATGTGATTGATGAGACCATTGCCCCACAAACACTGAAGAATGTCCAACTCAGGTAAAGTACTTAGCACTTACCTCACATCCTTTGATGCAATGGAGTGACTCTGGGGCTGGATACCATTTCAGTCCCATTGTGCACACTATGCTCTGTAAAATAAGACAACAGTTGCATGTTCAATTACTTAGGAATAGTACCTTATCTTCTTTATGAGACTGTCTGAACCAGTTTACAAGGACTTTGCTTTTTTTTTTTTCTTGCACTTTTATTTCACATATGCTTGACTGCACGCATCAAAATAACTTATTTGATACGCATGGCATATTTTTTATAATATATTTTTTATTATATATATATATATATATATATATATATATATATATATATTATTACACTTTTCTTGCTAGAAATAAATAAGTGCTTAGTGGAAACATTTTTTTTTTTTTGTTCTTGTTGTTTGCTTGTTTTGTTTTGTTTCTTTACTACTAGGTCATGGACAACATCAGGCAAAGATGTGAGAAATACTGTACAGCCCTGTAAAGAGAAATAAGTTCTCAAATTCCATTGCAGAAAATGAGATTTTATTTTTCTTCTGTGTTTTTTTTGCTGAAAGGCAACTAAAAACAGGGTTAGGTGTGTGTGTGTGAGCGTCCAATCCAGCAGGTTAAAGAGTGGTTTTATTTACTGCGTAAGTGTTTCATTACACATATAAAGTAGTCTCCATGACCAAAAGTGCCATCCACAGCAAAGGACTGACTGACCTCAGGTGGTCCAGTTCTTGGACCCAACATGTCCCAAAAGCTCACAAAACTGACATGCTTTTCTTTCATTTCTGCAGACTAAGGTATTTTTTGTTTCAGTCCTGTCAGCAAATCAATGCAAAAATATGGATCAGGGTTTGAAGGTGGAGAGAAAGAACAACTTAGCATTTAAGGACAACAGAGAGCTGGGAGAGTAGGAGTTCTGCCCAGCAAATTGCTGGCATGTATGCATGTTTGTATCCAACAGGGTGGTGGGAAAATAAGGTTTGTATGTTTTTTTTTTCCAAAGGTGAACATTTTTGCAACTCATGCACTTTCACGTTTTCTTTCTCACTTTTTGTTATAATGATGTCATCCAGAAACTCTTTCTTTTCATTCCCCTTTCATTTTTTCCTCTCTGCATCCCTTTTTATTCCTCTCTCAGCAAGGCCGTAAATCATTATAATCGATGATTGTGGCCTGGTCTCACCCCTAACTACGTATAGGATCCTCACCCTCCAAAGCGTCCCCGGGGCACTCATACCACATAAAAATAGATCTCTATCTCAGCGCCACCACAGATGAGGTTGTGTCGTATAGAAAATGACTAATTCCACAGCCAGCCTGACAGGGTAATTTTGCTGATAAAAGGGAGGGGGGGGGGGGGGGGGGGGGCACATAATCATCAGAGACAGAGAGATGGATAAAAAAGAGGAGGAGGGGAAAGTAAAGGTAAAGGAGCAAGAAAGAATTCTAAGTGGGTCAGATGAAGAACTAAAATACAACTAGTTAAAAGGCAATTTATCAACATCACATGTTAAGATGGGCAATTCCTACCTCCAACTCCGCAAAGAACTAGGACTTGCTTTAGGGAATAAAACAATGTGAAATATTTTAAACATACTTAATGCATCACCAGTTTCTCTTCATAAGATGCTGTAAATGATTTTAGTCCCAATAATTAATTTTTATGTAAATGGTTTGGCTGTCTGCAACTTGTTCTCTGGGAACTGAAGGTAGTATCTCAATGGGCTGTCACTGCTGGCAACTAGTTTGTCACTATTCTCCAAAATCTCTTGAAACACCAGTGTTTAATACATGTAGTAAATGTTCTCAAAATACTCACAAAACTGTTAGGCATCTCAAACCCTTCATTGTATTTGTTTCTAATTCTAGCTGAATGTTTCCTTTGGCAGACAACACGTCCAAGTTTAAAGACCAAGATATTGATACATCAAGTCAAGGTGAGTACAAAACAAGTAGAGAAGGTTTTGGGCAGAGGGGGGCAGCAAAATGTGCATGGTGGAGAATACAATATTGCAAGTCGTGCAGACAAAACAGTGGACTTAACTGCTCAAACTGTTGATTTTAAAGACAAGAGACTGAACGTTTCTGTTCTGACAAAAATCATGGAGGCTTTGGGTCAGGTCTTCTCATCAAACTTCAACACAATTCTACTCTTGAATTTTTGCTCTTTGCTCTAAATGTTTGCACTGACTCTGTCATTTTCTTCCAACCAATAGAAAGCCAAATGTATACCTGACCAGCAAAATCGAGGCAGCTTCTTTTCTGAGTAAATTAGTTTTATTTAATAGACTTTGTTCCTCTTCAACAGTGTTGTAAATGGTTTCCCTTAATGGTTTGGTATTCATATTTACAAGTAGGGTAGTAGTGATGCAGTTGGTTGGAATGGTGCCTCTCAGCAAGAAGGTTGCTGGACCAAATACTGGCTGGGGACCTTTCTGGGTGGAGTTCAGTTTACATGCTCTCTATGTGAATGTGTGTGTGTTTTTTTCTGGGTACTCCAGTTTCCTCCCATAGACCAAAAATGTGCACATTAGGCTGATTGGTAACTCTAAATTGTCCCTAGATGTGAGTGAGAGGGTGAATGGCTGTTTGTCTCGTTTGTCTCTGCGTATCCCTGAGATGGACTGTCCAGGGTGTCCCCCACCTCTCGCATAGTGACTGCTGGAAATGGGCACCAGTGACCCCTATCAACCTAGAAAGGAAGAATTGAGTAAAGATAATGGGTGTATGGATGGATGGATGGATGGATGGATGGATGGATGGATGGATGGAT